GTTTTTAACTGGTCCATTTTAAGTATTTATAAACCTTACCTGGACTAATATACATGTATTTAGGAATGCCCAGTCATGTTTTGGATGCTGGATCTAACTCATACTTTTTAGATGTTCTCAAGTAACTGTAAGCCCTACATGGACCAAACTTGCATGGACATTGCATCCAACAGACTTGCTCGGGAAGCTGCATTAGACATATTTTCTGAATGAGTGACCAAGTAAAAGTTTTGGGAGCAGGTCCATTCCCAGGTAACTATAGACATACCTGAGTCAAACTTGCATGGTTGGTGTACCAACGGATGGACATTATCAGACTTGTACTGGATGCAGCGTGTGACCTCTATTTTCCAGCTGAGTGACCAGTTAAATCTTTTGGATCAATTCCATTTCCAACTACCGGTAGCTTAAGTTCTACCTGGAGACCAAACTTGCAGGTGTGATCAGATGCATTTAAGGATGCTCACTAGTACGCATGTTTTGGATGCTGCATCTGTATTTTCTGGATAAATGGACAGGTTAAAAGTTTTAGGGGGAAGTCCATTCCCAAGTAATTGTAAGTCCTACCCTTGATCAAACATGCATGAAGTTTGACTTCAGGTGCTATATATCTTGGATGAGTAACTAAAACATTGTAATCATTATGATGAAAGTTACTTTTAATGCATCCAAGTAAATAATTTGATATGAAACTTTGTTTCACTTGGACTACATTTGTTGAGCCATGCTTTGTAATCTTTGATTACTTATGTTTTGCATAGTAATGTAATGTTCATACTAATTCATCAAAAAATGTTCATTTATAAATAAGTAACTTGTATAAATTTTGCAGGACTATATGTTTTTTTGTGCCAAGCCAGGAAATTGGCAGTACCACAGTTCAGTGTTAACGGATGAATCACCTTATAAACTGGCAGAAAACATTGTCTGGGAGAAAATGATGGACTTTGTCAAATTTCCTGTTTATGAATTACACCCTGTCAGTATTTAAAGTCATTTTCACTCATCTTTAAATTAATTAAAAATATCAAGCTTTGGCTCTTAGTTGGAGGCATCAAAGAAGGGAAACTGCTCACATGTTTTGAAGATTTTAAGGTTCATTGATACTCTGATAAGAGAGATAACTCTTAATAGGATAAATTGAATTATTCCATTATCAAGGACAAGGTAGGGTAAGGGCTGAAATTTAGCCCCTTATTTGATATAAAAATTAAAACAAAGTTAAAATTGTGATATTTTGCAGTTAAGAACTTAAAATGATTGTTGTTTCAAAACTATCACTGTAACTTTTATTCAAGGCATACACAGGGGCCACAAGAGGGTGCCAAAGTAGGACATTTACCAAATTTCCTCAATTCTGATGGAATTTTATCAAATTTGAGATACTTTTCACGTCGGGAAACATACAGCACAAGCTTGCCTATCTGAGATTTTTATAAAAAAGATGCATCTGATACTAATGCATGATATACATACATGATACATTTTATATGAGGTTATATGAATCTTAAAACTTTTTTTCCAAGTGCAAACTAGAAAAGTAACTTTCACATCCCCTATTTTCCTTATCTATCCCTGAGTTATAATATTTAGAATTTTTTTGTAGCAAATTAAGCTGTGGAGGTGGGACTGGGAAACAGACAAGTTAGATGTCATCATGAACATCGAGTGTGGGAACAAATTTCTTGTGGTGAGTGAACATTGGTTATTTCATTGTTATGAAGTGATGGAAAATTATATTTTGATGTGAAATGTTCATCAATCCTAATGCATATTTCAAGGAAATTATCATTAAACCTTCTATATATAAGTATCTTTATAAGGGATGGAAATATTCACAAACAAGCTAAAAAAAAAAATCACTAATTTTTTTAATAAAATCTATGTACAGTTGAACTTTGATATCTTGAATACCTATACATGTATCTCGAATACCATAAATGTGTTGAATTGACTTGGAAGTCCTCACCATGCATTCCTTTATCATTTTACCCTTGACATCTCCAATCTTCGGGCTTTGTCTTGGTCCCATAGAGTTTGAGATAAAAAGTTACATACATGTAATGCTAATGGTACTTTTGTATTATTTCATTTTAGGCAACAGTTGCAAAGGAAATTCCAATCATTGTAGAAAAAGCAGTAGAAGAGCTGAGAAATCTGTTTAAGTGTCTTGTTAGGTTAGAATTATTGGTGCTGCTCAAAAAATAAATTCATTACAACACTAGTGGGTATTGTTTGTGTTTTTTAAAATAAAAATATGTCTCCCCTTCAAAGTTTGGTTTCCCTATATTTAGCAACATTAATGAAGGACAAGTCTAAATGTCTTATTCATGCTATCCATATTTCATACTCTCAAAACAACTCTCTCTCTCTATATATATATATATATTAAAGTTTTACATAGGCAAAAGTTTTAATTCATCTTTTGGTAGAATGCATCCTGTCTTAATCAGCATTTAGTATTGTAAGTTTTAAGTCTAAATTTCAAAAAGTTTTCAATTTATGGCCTGGATATTTTTTTTTAATTTTGACCTTGATTTAAGAAATGGGTCAAGGTAAAAAAAAAAATGGTACGATGCATCTCATCTTAATCTTATTTTCACTGTGTTCCAAGGCTGAAGTCCTAATTTCAAAGTGTTCTCAGTATATCATCTGGACGTTTTTGACCTTGGTTTAAGAAATGGTTCAAGTCAAATATTTTAGTGCATGGCATTTCACATTAATCTCATCTTTCCAAGTTCTAAGTTTGAAGTCCCAACATCAAAGGGTTCACAAAGTCTAGACATTTTTAGGTCACTCGAGTCACACGTGACCTATTGCTGTTTTTGTCAGACAACATCATTCAGTAAAACATTTTCTTCTCTGAAGCAATATTACCAATTTACAGGTAGGTCCTGTAACATTGTCGGAACCCATGGGTTTTCTTTCTGTTACACTACATTCAACCAGGTTGAACGTAGTTCAACGGCAATCAAACCCGTCTGACTACCATATTCCTCCCTACTTAAAGGTCTTCTACCTCCGAAGACACCAACCCTGGCTTTATCCTGGCAGGTCTTTCCCCGTCACATCCTGGTCACAGCACCAAATTATATAACAGGAAAGGAGAAAATGTATGGCTGGACCAGGAATGGAACCTGGGACCCCTGCATCACTAGTCAGGTGTTCTACAGACTGAGTTACCCAGGCTGATATCCACAGCCCAAACCACTACATAAGCAATCTTTATTCACCCATCATATCAAAATCTCAAATTATGATCTACAATGTAGATATTTTTTTAATTTATATGACCTAGATTGAAGAAATGGGTCAATTTCAGAAATATTTGGTGTAGTTGTCTTAATGTCATCTTTCCATGTCTATAGTTCAAATTCCTAATGTCAAAATTTTCAGATTATGCTGTGGACAATACTTTGATAAAAAAGATTGACAGTGACTTAATAATGAGTCAAGGTCAAAACTTTGAATGCACCCCTCCTCAATATCATCTTTCCATGTCCCAAGATTGAAGTCTTAATGTTTAAAAAAGCTTCTCAAGCTATAACCCCAAACAAAATTTCGTTGAAGATGATTATATTTTACTCATTATTTATCTTCAAACTGTAAAACCATGCTATTTATGAAGCTAACTCAATAAGTTTCAATTTATTGAATTATTTTATTCCACCAGCAGAAAATGGATAGTTTTCTTTTGGTATGGACATTGTAATAATTGGTCACCATTTAATTCACTTTAATCTGTGACTTTTTCCATTGCAGTCAATATATTATGAATGTTCTTACACCATACTGCTGAACAAATTTTCCAGACTGTATCACTATAGCCATAAAAGAATTATTTCAAATTTAAAGGGCCATAATTCTTTTCAAGTTCACCACAAGGGCTGATACCTCATCATCATACGAAATAGATAAACAATCCTACACGCACATAACTCAGCAAATCAATGTATGCATGCATAGAGAATTTAGTCTATAAAATTCACATGAAACTGTGACCTATCTAAGAATATAATCAGATAATAATTTCTTTTCTGCTTAATATGTAGGTTGTGGTATGTACAATCACAATATACAAGAAGCTCAGTGTGGAGCACCGGTCTACAGCTCAATGGGGGCAGTTATACGACTTCTCCCCTCTTGAGATCTAGAAGATCCCCCCCCCCCCCCATCATATTAGTTTGTAATTTGGCAAACCATTTTTGAAATAAGAACTGCGAATGATAGTATTGTTCTCCCGCCTACCTCCAAGTCAATTTTCAAAAGTTAACATATTTGAATGATTTTTCATATTTATATAGATATCTATATGAATTTTCATAAAACATTACTTATTTGGGAAAACAAAGAGAGATAATTCTATAATTTTGGTAGAACTTTTGTTTTTCACTAGAGAAATCAATGGAAAACGGAAAATATTTTTAAAATAACCCCCCCCACCCCCGTGAAACAAAAATTCCTTTTTACAGATAATATGGATTGTTATTTCACAAATTCATACCAAAGCTTTTTGTGTTTCACTGGGGGGGGAGGGGGGAGACATATGTTTACAGACAAAAATGCTCATTTTTTCACCAATTTCGTAGGGGTTTACAACTTAAACGTTGTATTTAATCAATTACATATGTTTAATTTTATATGTGTAAAACATAAGAAAAGATTTAAGGAACATTTATCCATATCCAAGAATATTTTAAAATATGCTGCTACTTTCAAGCCTGATTACAATGGAAAACATCGTCTACCCACCTTATAAAAAGAGCTGAAGTTAAGAGTAATTAACTATTTAACACTGGTATTAAAATTATTAATCAATTACCATTGTACTCTTCTTTGCATTCAACAAAGATTTTATGGCCAAATTGCCATTAGTATTGAATTAAATGGGTGTAAAATGTAGGCGGGAATCGAGAGTTAGCGTGCGTGGTTCTTCGTAATAAATATAATTGAATATGCCTATTTAATATAATCAAACAATACAAAAAATGAACCAACCATAATTATTTATACAACATTTAATATCTATTATGATCACAAAGACATTAAAGCAAACATATTTTTTTACATGGTAACATAGTCATTACACCATCAACCATTTTACTAAATAAAATAAAAAATATCTGATAATTCTTAATTAAAATAATCTATCTGTTCATCTTGTATGCATTGGAAATTAAAAAAAAAATATTTAAAGCAACACAGTGATGGAAGCACTAAAGATGAAACTTGGCTATGTGTTTGTTGCTTGCTATAATTGCCTATAAATGTACACAAGTTTATTTGTCAAACATCAACAATATGTTGATTAATACATGTATGCATAACATCTATTAGTTAAATAAATTTGTAATGGAAAATGTATATCTTTTTCAATATCAATTTTCTTCTCATAAGGATATAAAAATGAAAAAAAGGAATAAGATTCCAAAATGATATCAATTAAAAAAAAAACAAAAAAAAAAAACAGAGCTCCGGGCTCTGTTTTAAAGATGTAAAATAATGCTGAAGTTTTCTCTTTTTGCAATGAATGCACTGGTCATTTCACGAGAAACATGATTAAACACATAGGTTACATATAACAACAATATCCATTATCCGTATCTATCCAAATACATATATTCTGAAACCTGCAAGTTAAAAATCAGACCACTATGTTAAAACCACTGTCAAATCACTGGCCAATGAAAAATCTTCACCCAAGAGAAAATATCTAGTATAAAAATACAATGGGGCCTGACATCACATAAAACATTGCAGTAAATGACCTGCAGACTTTGCTGCATATGCATTTTTCACACAGGGAAATTTTCCAGTTGTAAATCATTGGGAGCTCCTTCTCCAAGAATGCATTGTAATGTGTTGTCCCTCTTTGAAAACACATTCTGTTTTAAGTTAAATCCGGGTTAGATTATTTGCACAACACTTTTTATCATACATCTAAATTTTTAGGTGTTTGTTGAACAATAAATGGTTCACTCCACATCCTCCTAAGATCTCCCTACAATTGACAATTTGTTTAAAACATAAATAGTTTTGTTTTGAATACTGCTGTGTCCATTAAAAACAAAAAAACTCATTGAAAATTGGCTTTGATGCGGAAAGAAGAAATGATCCTACGAATTTAAATACTGGGTGCTAAAGCCTTAAAATGGTCCAAATGTAAAATTACAATATTTCTTGGAAAAGCTTTTCAAAGTAATAATGAGCTCCAGTAAGATCACATTAATGCTACAGCTGGCTACATTACCTTCAGATATGCCATAGTTAACAAGGGAAGAAGTGTGAATGGAACAAGGTACAACAGAGCTGGCTGGGCAGCCTTAAACACCTCTGATGATACGGTGGCAGTTAGCAACCCTGACAAAGAAAATGTAGAGTACAAAATGGCAGTCTGAAGTATAGTGGTGCAAGCTGCATGACATACAACGTATATACAGTATTTCTCACAATTTTTACACAGTAAAGAGAACTGAGAGCTACATGTATATCTCAAATAAAATAGATATATGCTGAAGTGAATTGAAAGTCCCATCTACCTTTTCTTTATGTATTAAACTTCAACATGTCTACCCTTCAGGTTCGGGATAACAAGGTTTCAGTATAAAGTATTTTCAGTTGGCAAAGATTTTTGCTTTATCATAATGACATTGCCTAAGCCAAACTTCTCTCCTTACCTAAGAAATAGTCAATCAGAGAGCAGTGGAACCTTACCTAAGTAATAGCCAATCAGAGAGCAGTGGAACCTTACCTAAGAAATAGCCAATCAGAGAGCAGTGGGACCTTACCTAAGAAATAGCCAATCAGAGAGCAGTGGAAGTAAGTGACCTTGTGAACGTAAGTCGGTGGGGGTGGGACTCCTGCCTCTACAGAATTGGTCTGTGTTTTCTTGTAAGCATCATATCGTAGTACAAAACACAGAAGTAGACCTGGCATAACCTGTAATCAAGACAACAGCATTAAAATAACAAAATACATGTACATGTTTATACATTCATAATTCAGTTATGTTCAATCACAAATACTAAATTTTTTATAAGAGATCTTTCATCTGATAAAGGCCAGTTCCTCGACTATCACTAATTTTTGCCAGCGTATTGATACTGGGCACCTGGCTAGAGTAAGACTGGGGGGGTGGGTGTAATCTTATACTACTATAAATAAGCACAAAACCATCAAACCTTAATTGAATTCATATAGTAATAGTTTTGATATGTAATTACATGTATATATTACATATCTACATTTTTGTTTGTAACCATCTAATCTGTGCTTTCAATGAATTCACATAGTAATATTTTTACTAGTTATAAACTAAATGTTTATTTTTTTAAACAATCACATTTGTAAATGGGCAGTTTTTTCATTTTTATTAATATACTGTATATTGTTAAGTATACTCACAATATCTCCAAGGCCCAACATAGAAAAATGACTAGAATTCTGAATGCTGAAAAAAAATTGCAAGCATTAAAAGATATCAGATTACATCTTTCATCTGATAATTCTTTTTTTCCCTTCTTTACTGAATATATTTAACCTATGCTTTTCTTATGGTTATTACCCAGAGACATGGGCAAAAGGATATATTACTCCTATATTTTAATAGAATGATCCCTGTGATCCAAATAATTACCGTGGAATAACTATAACAAGTAATCTTGGTAAACTCTTTACTAATATTTTAAATAAAAGACTAGATAACTTTTTAAGTGAGAACAATTATAATACACCCTTGCCAGGTTGGATTCACAAAGCATGCCAGAACATAAGATTATTGCTTTATTGTCAAATGTTTAATCGATAAATATTGTTACACAAAAGAAGGTAGACTTTATGCCTGTTTTGTAGATTTTCATAAGGCATTTGACAGTGTTGTTCATAATGGTTTGAAACTGAAACTACTACAATATAATGTTGGAAATAAATTTTATAATATTATTAATGATATGTACATGAAAAGTGAAGCATGTGTCAAGTATGGTGATCTCCTTACTTCCTCATTCCCTATCAAATTAGGTGTACGTCAGGGAGATAACTTGAGCCCTACTTTATTTAAAATGTTTATAAATAATTTGCCATCATATTTACAAAGTTGCATAGACTCTGTCAAGTTACACTCAAAAAATATAGATTGTTTAATGTATGCAGATGATATAGTAATTTTTTCATCATCACCACAAGGACTTCAGCAAAGATTAAAGTCTTTAGAGAAATATTGTGATGACTGGGGTATGAAAGTAAATTCTAATAAAACAAAAACCAGAAGTCTCTGATGAGACTGTAGCTCTACTGGTCTGTTTGTATAACAAAAGAAAAGTAGCACTTGGATTTGAAACATTGCAACATGCAACAATAAATAGAATTATGTATCTTAATGTAGTCTACTTTTGTGACAAGTTATATTGAAATCAAATGAAAACTAGGAGTAGTAGCGTTTTGAAAGTATTTCACGGAAATTTCTATTTTTAGTACCGGTAACAATGACAACACCATTCACCCAAATAAAAAAAACAGAAATACATATTATGTATCGTAGTGTATTCTAACTGTGTGCCAAATTAGATTGAAATCAGACCAAAATTGTAGGAGGAGTAACGTTTTAAAGGAATTTCACAGAAATTTCTATTTTAAGTAACCATGGCAACACTGTTCATCGAATTCAAAAACCAATGCAATAAATTATGTATCTTAGTATAGTCTTCTTGTATGCCTAATTATATTGGAAGCTGACTAAAACTGTAGGATGAGTAGCGTTTTAAAGGAATTTCACAGAAATTTCTATTTTTAGTAACCATGGCAACACCGTCCATCGAAATCAAAAACCGATGCACTAAATTATGTATCTTAGTGTAGTCTACTTGTGTGCCCAGTTATATTGAAATCGGACCAAAACTGTAGGAGGAGTAGCGTTTTAAAGGAATTTCACAGAAATTTCTATTTTAAGTAACCATGGCAACACCGTCCATCGAAATCAAAAACCGATGCACTATATTATGTATCTTAGTGTAGTCTACTTGTGTGCCCAGTTATATTGAAATCGGACCAAAACTGTAGGAGGAGTAGCGTTTTAAAGGAATTTCACAGAAATTTCTATTTTTAGTAACCATGGCAACACCGTCCATCGAAATCAAAAACCAATGCACTAAATTATGTATCTTAGTGTAGTCTACTTGTGTGCCAAGTTATATTGAAATCGGACCAAAACTGTAGCAGGAGTAGCGTTTTAAAGGAATTTCACAGAAATTTCTATTTTTAGTAACCATGGCAACACCGTCCATCGAAATCAAAAACCGATGCTCTAAATTATGTATCTTAGTGTAGTCTACTTGTGTGCCCAGTTATATTGAAATCGGACCAAAACTGTAGGAGGAGTAGCGTTTTAAAGGAATTTCACAGAAATTTCTATTTTTAGTAACCATGGCAACACCGTCCATCGAAATCAAAAACCGATGCTCTAAATTATGTATCTTAGTGTAGTCTACTTGTGTGCCAAGTTATATTGAAATTGGACCAAAACTGTAGGAGGAGTAGCGTTTTAAAGGAATTTCACAGAAATTTCTATTTTTAGTAACCATGGCAACACCGTCCATCGAAATCAAAAACCGATGCTCTAAATTATGTATCTTAGTGTAGTCTACTTGTGTGCCAAGTTATATTGAAATCGGACCAAAACTGTAGCAGGAGTAGCGTTTTAAAAGAATTTCACAGAAATTTCTATTTTTAGTAACCATGGCAACACCGTCCATCGAAATCAAAAACCGATGCACTATATTATGTATCTTAGTGTAGTCTACTTGTGTGCCCAGTTATATTGAAATCGGACCAAAACTGTAGGAGGAGTAGCGTTTTAAAGGAATTTCACAGAAATTTCTATTTTTAGTAACCATGGCAACACCGTCCATCGAAATCAAAAACCGATGCACTAAATTATGTATCTTAGTGTAGTCTACTTGTGTGCCAAGTTATATTGAAATCGGACCAAAACTGTAGGAGGAGTAGCGTTTTGAAAAATTGTTTACAGACAGACGGACAGACAGACAGACAGACAGACAGACAGACAGACAGACGGACGGACGACGGACACCTTACTATCGCATAAGCTCTTCTGGTCTCTGACCAGTAGAGCTAATTATTATTTTTAATAAACCTGGGAGAACAATTAAACATAAATTTCATTACAAAAATTTCAATACTGAATGTGTATCAAGTTATAAATACTTAGGCATCCATTTCACAGCCTTGGGGACTTTCTCAATGGCTAAACTTGAGTTATACAAAAAGGGACTAAAAGCATTCTTCAAACTACGAAAAGATTTCCTTAGCTTAAATCCTGGGATATCCACCAGTCTAAATGTCGTTGATCACACAATTAAACCTATATTACTTTATGGCTCAGAAATATGGGGAATATTTAATGTTAATAATTCAAAAATAAAGCAATCTGATGATGTATTGATGCAACTATGCTACAAAAACTTTATGGGTGAAAATTTACACATCAAACTCTGTAAAACTATATTAGGTTTGAATAGGAAAAGTATGAACCATGCTTCTCTTTCAGAACTGGGTAGATATCCTTTACATTATGATATTGTCAATAGATTACTTAAATACTGCTACAGACTAGAAAATTTAACATCAGATTTTCCTTTATTAAAAGATGCATTCATATGTAGTAAGGAACTTCATCTCGCCAAAAGAACAACTTGGTATTCCTCAATAGAAAAATTACTAAGAATTCTTGATATTCCAAACATTATGTCATATACTAAGAGTAAATTTGTAACTTCATTAAAACAATCCCAGATAAAAAAAATACTCTATGGATTGGCAGTACTTAAATGAAACACTAAAAGAGGGTAAACTTGTCACTTATTTGTTTCTGAAGAACAATTTTAGACTAGAAAAATATCTAATTTTATTAAAACCTAATACAGAAAGCCAATTTGTAGATTACGTGTATCAGCACACAGACTCTTTATAGAATTAGGCAGATATAATAACACACCTAGAACAGAAATAATATGTAACCAGAAGTCTCTGATGAGACTGTAGCTCTACTGGTCTGTTTGTATAACAAAAGAAAAGTAGCACTTGGATTTGAAACATTGCAACATGCAACAATAAATAGAATTATGTATCTTAATGTAGTCTACTTTTGTGACAAGTTATATTGAAATCAAATGAAAACTAGGAGTAGTAGCGTTTTGAAAGTATTTCATGGAAATTTCTATTTCTAGTAACCATGACAACACCATTCACCCAAATAAAAAAAAACAGAAATACATATTATGTATCGTAGTGTATTCTAACTGTGTGCCAAATTAGATTGAAATCAGACCAAAATTGTAGGAGGAGTAACATTTTAAAGGAATTTCACAGAAATTTCTATGTTAAGTAACCATGGCAACACTGTTCATCGAATTCAAAAACCAATGCAATAAATTATGTATCTTAGTATAGTCTTCTTGTATGCCTAATTATATTAGAAGCAGACTAAAACTGTAGCAGGAGTAGCGTTTTAAAGGAATTTCACAGAAATTTCTATTTTTAGTAACCATGGAAACACCGTCCATCGAAATCAAAAACCAATGCACTAAATTATGTATCTTAGTGTAGTCTACTTGTGTGCCAAGTTATATTGAAATTGGACCAAAACTGTAGGAGGAGTAGCGTTTTAAAGGAATTTCACAGAAATTTCTGTTTTTAGTAACCATGGAAACACCGTCCATCGAAATCAAAAACCGATGCACTAAATTATGTATCTTAGTGTAGTCTACTTGTGTGCCAAGTTATATTGAAATCGGACCAAAACTGTAGCAGGAGTAGCGTTTTAAAGGAATTTCACAGAAATTTCTATTTTTAGTAACCATGGCAACACCGTCCATCGAAATCAAAAACCGATGCACTTAATTATGTATCTTAGTGTAGTCTACTTGTGTGCCAAGTTATATTGAAATTGGACCAAAACTGTAGGAGGAGTAGCGTTTTAAAGGAATTTCACAGAAATTTCTATTTTTAGTAACCATGGCAACACCGTCCATCGAAATCAAAAACCGATGCACTAAATTATGTATCTTAGTGTAACCTACTTGTGTGCCAAGTTATATTGAAATTGGACCAAAACTGTAGGAGGAGTAGCGTTTTAAAGGAATTTCACAGAAATTTCTATTTTTAGTAACCATGGAAACACCGTCCATCGAAATCAAAAACCGATGCACTAAATTATGTATCTTAGTGTAGTCTACTTGTGTGCCAAGTTATATTGAAATCGGACCAAAACTGTAGGAGGAGTAGCGTTTTGAAAAATTGTTTACAGACAGACGGACAGACAGACAGACAGACAGACAGACAGACAGACAGACAGACGGACGGACGACGGACACCTTACTATCGCATAAGCTCTTCTGGTCTCTGACCAGTAGAGCTAAAAATTGTATGCTTAATCAAATTGAAGATGAAGAACATTTCCTTATTCACTGTAGCAAATTCACAAAGGAAAGAGAAGACCTATTTAACTTAATCTCATCCAATGTAAAACATTTTACAAAATTGCCTGATAAACAAAAATTATTCTGGATTCTAAACTGTGAGGAATTAGATATTCTGAATTCTCTTGGAAGATTTTTACAAAAAGCATTACCATAAGTCAAGTCTGAGGCATGTGAACTGTTTTATGATATATTGTGCAAAAAATATGTACTTTAATATGTGTATGATATAAATATGTAAATTTGCATATATATGATGTATGATATTGTTTGTGCAGAATTTATGTATATGTATAAAAACTTTCTGGTTTATTCCTTCTTTTTTATGTCTTTCTCCTATCAATCATGCAACTCTTTCTCTCTTGTGTGTATGTATATTGTATTACATGTATATGACTATATATAAATGTTAATTTACAATGTACTTTCTTTTTGCCCCATGAGGGCCCTTAATTGGTAAATAATTGGTAAATAAACTAATTACATACCCCGTATATATATGTTTAACACTAAATGAAGTAAAATATAGAGATGTTGCAAAATATTCCTCACTGAACTTCCTCCAAAATACATGTACACAGCAGATAATGAAGATAATAAATACATGTACATGCATGCCATTCGGCAAGAAAACCATTGCAGATGGCATTAATAAAGTTTTTTATTGGTCAAACTCCTAGAACATTGCAAAATACAAAGCCAAACGTGTTTTACATGAATTTCATGTGAAAAGATTTTTACATAAAATTCAAATTAATCTCTTATTTGCATTTTTCCCACATGAAATTATAATGAAAATTTTTTGTGATTCATTTTGTTGTCTTTTAACATGAATTTCATTTGAAGATGTGTGAAATTAGCCATTTTTTTTTGTACCTACACTCTTCTTGAGGTATACAAGCAGCTAGCTGCCTTACCTTGGAAATACCAGCTTTCCTGGCAATGATAATTTTGGCGCATCTCTCATAAATCCAGAAAGATGAAGCTTTTTGGCAAACAGACCCACCTTTAAAAAAGATTAAAGAAGAATGTCACATACTTGAATGAAAAACTGCATATTTCATCTCTACAAATGTCACCAATATGGAATTAATAGAACTTGACCGTGGTGAGACATAAAGCTTATTTCATGGAAATGACGTAAATTTGTCTAAAGACAGATTATTATCAATTAGTCACTGCAAAATTTGAAAATGCATAAAACATTGTGTCATGCACTTTAGAATTTTTTTATAAAAAAAATAAATTCTGTGCCTTCATAGTTCTACATGTTGCACTGCAATCAATTTTAAAAGAGGTATATTCATTGCAAGTAAGTAAATACAATTATGATTATTTGTAAGGTGTTTAAGGGATTTATTTGGCCACAAGATGACGTACAGGATTTTCTGCTGGTCTTGTGGCAACCTTCACCATGACATTTGCACTGAAGAGGTAGGAAGAGAAAAATACCTGAAAAGGAAACAGAGACAATTACTGAATGACTTTATCAATCCAAAAACACACAAGGTCTTTATCATGGAAGTACGTTTAGGAAGCTGGAGAGGAAATTGGTTTAAACAAGTCCACACACTCATGATGCTTATGGTGTTCGTTGATCACTTGTCCTGGTTGGAGCAAATATAGAGATTTAGATCAGGAAATAACCTAGGAAATGACCACAAAAATAGAGTGACAATAACATACAGGAAAACATGGCATAGTAGTTTAAAGTGATGCTCCTGTATATTTCAATCTCTCTCTCTCTTTCTAATTTTTTTTCTCTCTTTGTCTCTCTCTCTAATTATGAACCAGAAGAGTAAATAAGTTCTTATTTAATAGTTTATATGCTTATAAATCTTTCAATGAGAATGATGATTAAGTACACAAGGAAATGGGTAGAATGACCATAAAAGTAATCTCCTGACCATTGAATAAATGACCATACTAAATTTATCCCCAAACTGTACAGCAGGAAATTAACTCGTGGAGTTAATATTCGCTATATTTGCGGAAATAAAAATTCCGTGAAATCAACATACAGTGAATAATTCTTCAAAAATTGATAAGGATAAATTGAAATATTATCGATATCTGTGATTAGATTCGTTATAACCTTGCAAACATGAAAGTTACATGTAATAAGACCGTCTTCCTAATTATGCGGGTGTACGGATCAATCACTAATACGTAGTTGGTGGTGTTTTAAAAGCTTAACTGATAAACAAACGGCTATAATTAACATTTAATTCTGCCACCCAGTACAGGTGCGATGTAATAACGTACATGTATATGGGGTACCTGTAAAGTGCGAAACGAAATAGAAATGAAACGAAATGAAATGAAACGAAATCTACCGAAACGAAACAAAACCTACCGAAAAGAAACGGGAACCTGTAAAATGCGAAACGAAATAGAAACGAAACCTACCGAAACGAAACGAACTCAAAATGAAACCTACCAAAACGAAACGAAACAGAATGTTTTTCAAATCAAGGTATATCATTATATATAATGTGTAACTGTATATGGACTATTTTTACTTCATATAAAATTTATATAGTTCAAGCACTTGTTAATATAATATTTAAACACCGATAAATGCTCCCTTCTCTAGTGATGTATTTACTTATACATGCTTATATATACTGTAAATCAACTGCCAGCTACAAATATGCACGAGCATACTACATAATTTCAAAATACTCATTTCAAAATAAGCGTAGTATTCTCTAATTTTTATGTCTTACTTTTATTTTTAGCCTTTAACCATCGAAATACAATATATTTCTCATAATTGATGTGCTACATGTAAAAGCTTTTCTATTTACGTATCAAAATAAAGTTACTGTACTGTTGTATTGCGAATGTCTTTAAACATAACTTTAAAAAAAAAAAGTGCATAACTGTTATTTATACATATGTGATCAATTATACAAAGCCTAATTATTATTATACTTTTGATTATTGTCGGGTCCAGCTTTTTTTTATTTTTATTTGAGAGGTAGTTCCGAGAAGGACCCCCCACCCCCCTCCTCTGGTGGTTTCAAGGCTTGTTCAAATGATTTGATAAAAATTGAATTTTAATTTCAATAAATATATGCTTTGAATTTAATTTAAATTTGATGTTGCAATTTTACCCTATTATTTTAAAAAAAAAAAAAAAAATGCTTATCCTCCGCTTTTAAATTACTGTTTATAAAAGTGTGTGATCTGATATAGTTTGGTGTTGGACAAAAGCAGACCAAGAATCGACAGGTCTTAAAATCTGATTTTGAGTATACAAGTATACATACAAATGGATTGTATTAACAAGAACCCGAAAGTGATAACTTGGGTTATATGTGTAGGCTTAGTCTAATGTGTTTGTTTTGCACTAAAATGAGCAATATCTATTTAAAAGTGTAATCCATACTTACAAATGTGCACGTTTAGAAACACACAAAATCTTTTTTATCTTTCACTGCGTATCAAAAGAGACTCGTTACTTATAAAATATACACTATATAATATATTTTAAATCATAATGTTTATATATATATATATATATATATCATTTTTGCTCGATTTTATTTCGTTTTTTGTTTCTGTAGTTTTTGTTTCGTTTCAGTAGGTTTCGTTTTGATTTCGTTTTGTTTTTTGTTTCGTTTCGGTAAGTTTCGTTTTGATTTGTTTAGTTTTGTTTCGTTTCGGTAGGTTTCATTTCGTTTCGTAAGATTTCGTTTCGTTTCGTTAGATTTCGTTTCGTTTCATTTCGTTCCGTTTCATATTTTACAGGTACCCCATGTTTATGACTGATTAGCTAGGGGTGTCCACACTGTGGCTCGAACCAACAACCCTCAGATTTAAAATCCAACGCTCTACCGACTGAGCTAAAGGGTTAACCCACTAGCTAGTGCTAGTAGGAGTGTGGCCTCACTATATACAACGCATAGCCACTTTTAACTCTGTTACACGTATAAAAACATGGAAGATTTCACCCGTGCGTATCACTCAGTCATGATCTTTAATCAAGGCAATTTCGTATTAAAAACAACACTTTTAATTCAATTTTATTAAGAGTTCAACATTTTGAGGTAGTGACAACTGATTTAGATTCAGAGGTTTTAAATATACTGCAGTAAATACTACCCTCTACTCTAAACATACCTGTGAACGAACACCCTATCAAAGGGATTTTTTTACATGAATGTTAATAGGTTTGGATACGACCTGAAATCGCTTGAATAAATCACTTGAGTATAGACTCATGTGTACGTATTTCATAGATATCTAATAAAAAGAAAGAAAAAACTAGAGAAAGAAGAAAATTTATCTGAATGCGTAACATTGTAAATCGTACATTTTGTCCTTTAATCAGGATTAGTACGGCGTTTCGTTATATTAATCGGGTTCAGAATCGACACAATACGCAAGGAAAATACTTGCAGTGCTGAAAAAAGTTTTTGTATAATTTTCCTTTCCGCGAATTCAAACAACCGCGATTTGCTGCAAATTGAACAAATCGCGATCTTTTCCGACCGCGATTTTAACCTGCTGTACAGTATACAAGTTTGTCGTGAAGGTAATTTGAAGCTGTTGCAATGAAAGTACTTGAAGTTATACTGTTACATATCAGAATTTACTTAAAAAATGAATTTAATTTTTGAAGATTCATGAGGACATGAACTACGACGCTTCACGCCAGCATATTTCATGAAGCGCGTTAGCGCTTCATGATAAATATGCCGGTGTGAAGCATCGTAGTTCATATACCTCATGAATTTTCAAAAATTAAATTCATTTTTTATATTTACATTATTTTCTGATGAGTTACCACAGATTATGCCATTCAACTGTCATTTTTATTAAAGCAAAACAGTTTGCACTATAGTTTTGACATCATGTACGGTATTATGATGTATCAATGGATATATTCATGCTCATCCATGGAAGTTCATGAGAAAATGAACAGCCTTCTAATTTGCAAAGAATCTTAAGGAAAAATATTTGGAAATGTACGAGGGGTTATCAAAAAGTTCGTGGACTAGCGCCATAAAATTAAAACCGCTTTAGGTATATCAATGAATTTTGAAATATTTAGTAAGCATCATCTTTTCTATCTATAGAATAAACCACAATTCATCAGTTTTATTTTTTGATAAATTAGTAATGTTTTTATAAGCAATGGCATGTCCAGGCGGCGCAACCGCGAACATGACGTTTTTTCAACCTCAGTGTAACTAAGAAAAACTCTTCTGATATGAGCACTTGACATCCAAAAATTCCGTTAATTCAGGCATGTGATGGGACACAATTGTTCCGCAAAATGTGCAATTCTTACTCCATTCTGTACGTTCTATGAAATTTTATCGTATATTTTATAAGGAGTGCCTTTACAATTAAGGGCTTGAAAATGACGTCAAAAAGGGGGAGGAGTTTCTTTTTCCATCATTCTATAAAGTTTTGCCCCTGAAAAAAAATAGTATAGACTTAGGGAAAGTTTAAATTGGCTACAGAGAAATAAAATGCATCCAGAGTACTTGTTATTAAATGCCAAAAGAGATTCAGAGAGATGAAAGATGAGCAGTTAATGTCGATTTGTAGTCAAGGTGTGAAAAGTCAATCTCGTCAAAAAGTGACGTTGATCATATGTGTTTTATATTGAATTCCAACAAACAAAATATGCTGGCATAATCAAGCGAGGATCTTTCCCTAAGTAAAGATTCATTTACAGTTTTATATGCATTGAAATCAGCTGTTCATTACATTGTTATGTCATATAAACAAGACAGGTTTTAGGTTTTTCTAAACTCCAGGGAATCTCATCAAGATAGGTGTTTTGAGAGAGAAGGAGCAGGCATTGAGAAATAATGACGTTGTCGGACGTCATGAAACTAAACGACGACAGCGCCGGGTGATCATATAATGCCTTTTTTATTTTCTAATAAGTTGGCAAATTGTCAACGTATCAAGCTAAAATTTTCCACACTTCTTAAACTTTTGTTGTTTAATGTTCCTTACAAATTTTGTAAACATAAACTACATAGTATTAATTTTATCGCATCAGTCCACGAACATTTTGATAACCCCTCGTAAATCTTAAACTTATGTCCCTGGCTAAATGATTTAGGGATTTTTTTTTAACTTATCCTTCACTTAAGTGAATATGAAGTACAATTGCTCAAGGAAACAAGATGGTTATGAGGTACTTGCAGTATGATACTGGGCCTTAATATAGAGATATTGCATACTATACCTACCCAAAACACATCATACACCAGTAGGCCTACAAGCAGCAAGGTGGAGACTTTCAGACTGGGCAATCTTACCAGGGCAATAAAGGCAACACACAGCCCCATGCCCAGGGCTAAAAATATAAAGAAAACAAATAATAGAATAAAAATGACCATCTGTCAAATGACTATCCAGACTAGTAAAACAAGTATTCATCCATCTAAATACATCATCATTATTCTTTTTCTCAGCATCATAAACATATCTTCAATTAAACTTTTAATAATGTTTTGTGTCCATTTTTGGTTAAATTACAGTAGTGACTTTAACATCTGGAGCTTATCCTGGTAGCATAAATAAATACAGCCTACCATCCATCAGTAACCAGTGTCCAGTCAGCACCCATATACACACAATCATAAAGGATAGGAAAAACGATAAGATCTCAGCTGCTGTGAAACGGCCACACACCCCAAACGATATTCTACAATGTCAACATGAGTTTTCTTACAGCCTTTTAAATGCACAATGGTTGTAACTCATTTAAAGTGCCTAATTAACTTTCAGTAAAAAAAAAAAACCAGTATGAACTTGCATACACAAGCCTGTATATTTCAAAGTTGTAATTGCTTTATCTTGTATTCTTAAAACTCTTGGGAATTTCTTTTTAAGTCTGCTTAGGCCTAAGAATCCAAAAAAAAGAATGCATATTTCAACATAAACATCTAACTGTAGTGTCAAGTGCATATATAAAAATAAATCAAGTGTTTATTATTTTAAATATTCATCCTATTCATCTTATTTTTAGTGTTTTATGTATAGTGTGGACACTGAAATTTTATATATTTACCTTATAATTTCTTATATGATTGCTGTATATTTTTAAATTTTATGGTTTTATATAATAATTATGCTTTTACAGCGCCTTAGAGCTTAATACATAGGGCGCTCTATAAATGTTTAATAATAATAATAATAAAAAGGGGGGGAAAAAAAAGATTTCCTCCTATCTAATAAGACACATAATCTAATTCCTCAGCTATTCACTAATTTTGCAAAAAAACTTCCTCAAATGCAAGAGCACACTTTGCAAATTCAAGAATAGAAAACTTAATTATACAAGTGTTAGAGTGACTGTGACTTACTTTTGACCTGTTGAGCATGGTCGTATGAGGTACTGACACATGGGTAACAAAAGGAAGGCAAAAGCAACTGTTGCCAGGACTACAAAACAAAAATAACAATGAAATTAAATGTGTCACAATGATGAAAATGCTCTTACACAATGTTGCAGGAGCTTTGTGTATTATTGTGGGTCAAACCTCTTTATTATCGTGGGTTGTACACGCAGCAGTGATAAATAATGCAAAATCTAAGAAAGAGCATCATACCCAATTTTCACATTTCAATTCATACCCATGCACACAATGAAAGTAATATTTCTTCCCTTTTTCCATGACAGAGTATAAATATAGAAATCAAACAAATTTTGTATTCAGCAATAGAGATCTTTACACCCCTTGATGTATCACACACGAGATTATAGGGTGTCTATACCCTTCTCAAAATAATTGCACTTTTAACCTGTTTGGATACACTGGTATACGGATGGACCACTGGGAAATATTTAAAGGCCCATTCAATGGCAGGGGCACAGATGTCATATGCATTTAAACACTTTTTAAATGATACAAGAATTACATTAATATAATAACTACAATATGCACTAAAGCATTAATATTTTCAATACATAATATGTTTATTTTAACATCTCACGATACAGGAATTATCAATAAAAATTAATAACTGTTACAAAATATTATTCCTATCCATTCTTTTGTTGAAAATTATTATATTTAAAATATTGTCTATTCATATTATTTAAATGATTGAAGATTACTGTAATGATTTTAAACACCAATGAGACAACTTACTCAATTTAGCCTTCTTATAAATTAAAACTGATGTGAAACAAGGTCATCTAGATGTTTACCTGCAGTACAAATGGCAAACACCATCTGTAGAGAATCAAAGAATAAGAACATGATGAGGAGAGATGCTGAGGCTCCAATGGGGAGAAAAGCTGCTTGGCAAGTGTCAATGGTCTGTACATCTTCAATAAAGTAAACAATTCACAATAAAAAAAAATTGTTCTGACCTGCAGAGCATATGTTTTGATATCATAAAAAATAATTTACATACTAATATGACCTATGGCAACAGAAGAAAAACATAGGTAATCAGAGATTACAGAGCTCACCTCAACAAATGTTGTCTTTAAGTAAGGCAAAGTCCCACACTAAACTAATAATCTAGGAGTGTGCATCCCTAGATGCAACATTTATGCAATTTTGGTCTGATAGGGCTTGCAGTTACTTGGGAATGGACTTATCTGAAAACTTAAAACTAGACACTCATTCAGAAAATGTAAGTCAAATCCAGCATCAGAAGCAAGTTTTGAGATTGTTCATCCCTTGATGCATCATCCATGCAAGTTTGGTTCAGATAGGCCTTATAGTTACTTGGAAATGAGATCTGCTCCAAAAACTTTAATCTGGTCACTCATCCGGAAAATATAGGTCAGATCCAGCATCCGAAGCAAGTCCAGTAGTGTGCATCCTTAGATGTATCATCCATGCAAGTTTGGTCAATATAGGGCTTTTAGTTACTTGGAAATGAGATCTGCTCCAAAAACCTTAACCTGGTCACTCATCCAGAAAATATAGGTCAAATCCAGCATCCGAAGCAAGTCCAGAAGTGTGCATCCTTAGATGTATCATCCATGCAAGTTTGGTCAATATAGGGCTTATAGTTACTTGGAAATGAGATCTACTCCAAAAACCTTAACCTAGTCACTCATCCGGAAAATGTAGGTCAGATCCAGCATCCGAAGCAAGTTCAGTAGTGTGCATCCTTAGATGTATCATCCATGCAAGTTTGGTCAATATAGGGCTTATAGTTACTTGGAATTGAGACCTGCTCCAAAAACCTTAACCTGCTCCAAAAACATTAACCTGGTCATTCTTTAGCTGAAATTGCAGCATCTGAAACCTTGACTGGTACGATGAAACACACCAGAAGCATCCTCCATGCATCTCTGACTAATATAGGCCATAGAAGTACTTGAAAAGAAAACTGCTCCAAAAACCTTAACCTGGGACGCCGACGCCGACACCGAGGGTATTACATAAGCTCCCCCAACTTCGTTAAGGTGAGCTAAAAAATTACATGAAACTGGTTCAAGAATGCATTTTTTATAATAATATTTACATGTATAAATAAATATATACATGTATTTACACCTTGCACTGCTGCCTTATATAATGCATGATGAGAATATCTATTAAATCAAATTTCTGGTGAACAATGAGCTTATGTAGACATGTGCTAAACCTGCAACTTGACCTTCCCATAACCAACAGAGTTGTAATTCTGGAAATAACACTTCTGTAAACCTACTTGAATCAGACATGTAAAAGCAGGAAATATCAAAATGAATTATATGACTATGAGTGTAGTATTCTTTCATTTCCTTTCAATGTTAAGAAATAATTAGAAATTAAACTTGAAGAGATGTAATTCAATGTCAGTTTTAAATTCAACTTCAAATAATCACAATTATAATAATATATACTTAAAGTATAATGACTAGAGTGGTATATGTTAATGTGGATCCAATGTCATACCTATCTTCAAATTAAAGGGGGTGGGTGGGTATTTCCTTCTCAGGCTCAATAGTTTAAAAGAATTGAGATATTTTTTACCCATTGAAATATCCATGTACACTGTGAATTCAATAATTTTTGTCATGTTTGTGGGGGGTTATCAATTTTCGTAATGTTTTCATGGTAGGATAAAATTAATTCATGTTTTCAACAAAATATGAAAATTGTAATCAACTCTAAACTTTTTCAATTATGAAATAAAAACCCCATGAACCATTGTTCTTCCTCCAACTATGAAAATATAACCTCACCAAAATATATGATTTTACAGAATAACTCAAAGCTTATAATAATTCAGATATCTGCAGACTGCACCTATGAATTAAATAGTATCTTGCTATACATTAGTCAGCAGATAAATTGTGCAAATGCTAATGAAAAATGGCACTTGGAATTCATAAAGTATACTGCATAGTAATGGCAAACACCTGACAATTTTTAATAATGTACCATATGTACCAATCTGGGACCATATTAATTGGGGAACTTGATCTGATCTCAAGCACAAATTTAATCCCTGAACTTGAAATAAGTTTGAAAGAAAATCTGTGAATATCAATCATATATTATTCATGGTGTACCATCTTGGATGTTAGTGTGACCAGATTTAGCTGAACTTGAGGAAATTGTGGCAAAAAACAATGAAATAAAGAAAAGTCAGGATACTTTTATTTGTAAATGCTATCTATAAATCTCAGAATCATGACCAGCCCTTCATGAGCTTAATTCTATCTTTACATGCAATCTACTGATATACTTATTGAACTTAGCATCTTGAGTGCACCAAAAAGCAGAGCTCATCAGATGTGCACTGAAGTGATACAATTTCCTAATCAAGGTCTGAGTACAACCAAATTAATTATTTATTCATATTACAGCAAGATGCTGAAATTCATGCCTATAAATCCATTTCAAGGAGATGAGAGTGTTTCTTCCTAATTCTGATGTAACAGACTACAATTTTACTTTCAAAAGTTTTCTGCCACCTGTATAATTGCTGTTAAAAACTTTTTCCTTTTGAAATTTAAGGATAAGAAGGACCAAGGTTGAGACTCAATTGACTATATCATCGCTTATTTTTTGAAATATAGATTCAAAACATTACAATAATCAATACATTTGTAGTTCTTGAACTATTTTTTGTGCTCCAACATTTTATTAAAAAGATGTCCTGTTCAATGTACATGTATTAAGGTTACATGAAGCTTCACCTTTTTGTATTCATTCATGCATGCATGGTCATTAAATTACATGAGGGGCTTACAATTCAGATTTATTTCTTAACTTATTATTAAGGTCAGACGACATGTTCCTCGAATAACTGTTTTGTATCTCTTCATAATATATAGAAAAATATCCATCCTTATCATTACCTTTTGATTTTTAAACTGTTTTCAAAACGTCTTGAAAAATAAATACAGCAAAAATTGTGATATTGACAATTTAAAAGATTTCCAATAGATTATATAGAAAATACCATCATCTGGTATCTAGCACAAATGCCTGGTAAGATACCTCAATTTTTTGTGAGGAAACTTGTTAAAGTTGCAATACTTCAATGACAAACTCTTAGGAAAAATTATATATTACTGAGGAACGTGTCGTCTGACCTTAAGCTAGAAATTGTAGAAATCCACTTTGTAAATGTTAGACTCATCTGTTACGATGTATTTTTTTTTTCATTTGAGCTTACAATTCCCATAATGGACAGAGTAATGGACCCTTAGAAATAATCAAAACTTTATTTAGATGCTAACACTACATATGGGGTAAATACTTGTTTGGAAATCTCTTAAATAAGATTAGAAACCTGACCTCGGGATCATGACTGAAACATCTTAAGCTTATAAGTCAAAAATCTTCATGTTGTAGTAAAATGTTGTAGAAGTCAAGCAGATCAAAATTAAAATGTTTCAATGTCGCTTCACAAAAGTATTGCTATTTGCAAATTTAGAGATTAATTCAATAATTAATAGACATGTTACAGGAGATTGAAATTTTGACTTAAGTCTAAAGGTCTATTTACACGGTATGATTTGTAAGATGTGACTCGCCACATCTTACAAATCACACCGTGTAAATAGGAAAATCATAAGCCAGATATGAAGTCAGATGGAGTCAGATGGAATAGAGACATGCTCTATTCTGTCTGGCAAGTCAGATGGTTTCAACCAATCATAAGCAAGGTCAGAAAGGTTGATCTGAATTAGGTACAATTAACACGTGGATTTTTCCCGAACTTTTGCTCCAGATTAATTTTAAGATTAATATGATATATTACATGGCCAAATCTTGGGGGAATTTTTCATTCCATGTACTTGAAATGATAATGGCAGGAAAGTGAAACTGAACAAACCGATTGGTGGAAAAATTATACTTAGAAGTAAATTTGTCTGAAAAAATGAAACCATTTGGGTTTTCCATGGCCAATTCCTTACTTATTGCATAATATGCACCATGTCCTAATCAAGGTCTTGCCCATGTTCTTCTGTGTTCAAATGGTACATAGCTGCTATCATAAGGAAATGGGAAAGTAGTATGTAATTGCCGTTTTCCATTCTTAAATTGTAAACAATAAGAAATTTGGAGGGAAATATTAATGAACTACATATCTGACAAATCACACAATGTAAATGAAACACTGGAGTCAGATGTGAAATCACATCTGAAATCACATCTTACAAGTCACACCATGTAAATAGGCCTTAAGTCTGTTTCATGATCCTGGGGCCTGGTGATAGAAATGCTTTACAATATGAAGGTCATTGAAGGATATGCTATTTTTCTCTGCTCAAGGACCTTCTTTTCCTTAATTCCAAAAATCTCAACCATCTGCTGTTATAGATTATCTATGCAAGAATGGTCAAGGTAAACAGAACTATATAAACACTCAACATTTTCAATATGAAGAAAGACTTCACCCAGAAATCATTCATTTGTACCAGTCATAAGAAGTAACAGCTGACATGTTCATAATTCTTGGTGACATTTATTTTTTATCCAAGTGTTAGAAGCTAGCGGCTGAATAAATGTGTGTAGTCATAATGAAAATGAATTAAATCTCCATCACTGCATTTACTGATTAACAAGAGGTAAACTTTGGCAATCCATTTTTTAGAAGTATTCAGAGTATGACTGATTCTAAAGACTTGACCCATTACAAATTTCCTATTATACCCTGTCATGCTTATCCATTAATGTGGTTTCTGTGTCTTAATTAATATGTCCCTAACCTGGCCTCCTCTTTTATTACACTAAAACAAAGAGTTACATGTATAGAACCCTATTTCAAAAGAGCACTTTCCGCATTACCATCAGTATAGCTTTCAAAATACAACCATCCAGTGAAAAACATCTGAACTAGAGCCAAACAGTGCTTTTGGTATACAGAATTTTGCTTCTCTTAAGGTCTTAACTATGTTATTCAATGTCAACTCATTTTAGAAAGATGTGAAGACTTGCATCTTACTGGTCTTCTTAGTGTTACAGTAACAATTTGTAATTATTACTGATCAATGAATCTTACACGTAATCCAGCCAAAAATATAACAATTAAAATGTTATGTTAAAATTACTACTATTTAAAGCTAGTTTCAAATTATACATGGATGAAAAGACCTTATACTTGTTTAAAGTCTTGTCTTCCTGCGAAAAAAATCTGAACAACGAACTCTGACCGAATTAAAACTTCACCAAGAAAATCAGTACACCAATGTGATTAGCTCTGTGATGATCTGAGAAAAAAAAGCCCAAGTTTATTCCTAGTTGTCAAGAACCAGTTTAATTACTGTGAATTCAATAATTTTCGGGGGGGTGGGGGGTGGGTGGGGGTATTTTTTGTTGTTTTTGTGGTATGAAGAGACCCACAAATTCATATCCTCCAGGAAATGTTGAAATTACAAATTGCAGCATTTATTCCTTCAAACCACGAAATTTAATGTCTCCTCGAACCAGTAACTTTTCCTCTAATCAGGAAAATTTGGCCCCTGGCCAATGAAAATTAGTGATTTTACAGTGCACTTACTGTTGTCTCCATCACTGTTAGAAACAAATTGTTTGTCTTTTTCTTTGTCCTTCTCTCGATTCTCTTGTTCTAAATTTAGGGATCTACAAAACAAGGCATACTTACAATGAATCCTTAATAGAGTCATTACCCTAGTGGACAAGTCGTTTTTTAGAATCTACATCATGCATTGATCTGTACCTTGCATAAAGCCTCTAAATTGCTTTTGTGAGATTATGATCAAACCAAACTCAACATAAAAAGTTAATGTAGGATGCTCTTATTGCATCCTGATAGGCACAATACTGGAACTCCAGTAATGTCCTTAAAAAAAAAGGGGGGTGGTTTCAACCTTAATTGATATTGATTGTTTCTTATTTGGTAAATCCATACACTGCTTGGTGAAGTGAACTTGCAATCTGTGTCCAGATTTACATCAATTTCCATCGAATCGGACATTTATTCTAAGAGCCAACTGGTACAAATATGTTGATAGTTTGAAAACACATTAGTGACATCCTGTTCTTTCTAATCAGTAGAGTATTTATTTATAATCTGATTCTATAATCATCCGTTCTTTTAAGTGTTTGAAAGAAAAACAAGAATAACAATAAATTTATATTTTTCTAACTTGATGTATAAATAATTATAAAGAAATGGAATCATTTAAATATTTATTTCAGTTAAAACCAGTAGTCTTACTCCTTTTTCATATGGGAGGGGGGAGGTTGAAGGAGGCTCTGTAAAGGGAACTAATAGATGTGGTAACATCTGTTATCTTCCCATGAGTGAACAATCATTTAACATATTTAACAGTTTAATGCCTGGGTAATGATATCATTATTCATCATTTGTTAGATTTCACAGTGATAAAAATATACATGATAAATAAAATGTTTCTGCTAAATTAAATAAGATGAGAAAACATATTCATAACCAAGAACTATGCAGGCACCCTACAGCTAGAGATGGAAACAACAAAAAGACAGCAGTCATGTATCACAGCTGATGCCTACAAGCAAGCATTCATGGTCAAAAGAGATGTATTTTTACAAATTTGAAAAATATTATGCTCCTCTAATTTGAAAAAAATATCATCAATGAGACAGTCATTTAGCATTCTGGACATTCTGCATGGTACAATACTGTAAAGAATTGTGAATTTTTATATCTTCACAAACCCAACACTTTGCAGTTTTAAAAGCAGAACATTTTAATTAATATTTAAATAGAGAATAGCACTGTAAAAGTTAACAAAAACTAATTAACATACCTGAAGCTTCCGTACACTATCAGCAATATTGATATGACAAAGGTGGACAGACGGGAAGAATCCATCACAGAAAATGCCCTAAAAACACAACAAAATTCAGAACATCTCTACATGGTTAAACAAATATAGTAAAACTTGTTTAGTACAAACATGGATATTGCAAATTCATAGTTATAGCGAAGTTTTCTTGGATCCCCAGCTGTATAAATTTTATGAATACCTTATATGGATATAAAGAATTACAGATACATCGAAGTAATTTCACAGGTCCCAATGACTTTGTTATAACCGAGTTTTACTGTAAGTGTGTTCAGATTCTTTTACAACAATCTTTGATATTTCAAAAATCAGTTATGTTTCCTTCACATTTCTCACATAGAATTAATCTGGATTTGATTAAAATGATTTTTTTTCATGATATGATATATAGTGTTTTTATCCTACATGCTTAAATAGCTAAATTTTATTAAACAGGATGTAAATAATGGTAAAAATCAGTTTTATATATTTTTTATTCAAAGTTCAAAGTTTTTTCTGTGTTAAAAGCCTTCAAAGAAGCCTTAACTTTTCAAAATTATTTAAAAATTCTTTCTTCCTTGCACTGCCTTTTAGAAATTTATTCAAGTACCCTTCATCGCTTTATTTGTGGTTTAAAAACAAGTATCTTCTTACCAAAAGGAAATGCTGTCTAACAAAGTGGACACAACAATAATTTAGTAAATAGTTTTGAATGGATGTCAAAATTTTAATAATTATCAGGATATTAGATCAAAAAAAGAGAGAGAGAGTCAGATGAATATTAAAAAAGGGAGGGAGATAAATTTGGTCTCTTTTCCATTTCATCGACTCCCTTACTTGTAACAATTATACACAGACACAATCACATAAGACCAAAATATTTACCAAGCAATCAATATGCCATCTATAAAATTGTGTAAATATAAACAATAGAATATCTAATTGTGGTATCTGCATTTGAGAACTGGTAATAAATCTTAATATGCTTAAAGTTACATAGTGAGTCAATATCATGTGTTTCTTTTAAGAAATTAACTGCATGGTAAAAGCAAGTAAAGACTGCAAAATGTACACGGTAAGTGTCGGAAATAAAAAAGTTGTATCTATGGTGTGGTTGTTATCGTCAATGTCAGCAATGTCAAGGTCATGTGTCTTTTATTTTTAGTGTGAAACTTGTAAACGACATTGAATTGGAGCGATCAAAAGTGAGGAATAAGTTCTGATTATCTGTTCTGAAGATTATATCAAACTCCTCGCAGTCGGTCATCCGACATTTATATCTATGGAATTGACACCATGGTAACTTCTTCAACTTTTCTGCGCATGCGTACCTTAAAGAGGAAGAAGTGAAGCAATATTTTCATGTTGGGGCAAACTAAAATTACTTTTACTTATATATTTCTCCATAAAAGCAGATTTTTCAGGCTCTGAAACCTGTAATTTTCTGAAACCTTATATTTTCCAGAATTGAATAAAATTTGCATGCTCTTGCAAAAATTCTACTTATGTCAATTTTCCTGTTTTTCCGTCAAGGTGTCTCTTTAATCAAATACAAAAACTGTGGATAAAGAAAATTAAAAAAAAACTAAAGAAAAACACATTCAATTGAAAAATTGTAAAGAAATGAAAATAAATACTTGGATAAACTAAAAATGCCAGGTTGTGTCACATTTTTTTTAAGATAAACAGCTATGTGCATTCACTTTCACAGCACTGAGGGAAAATCAGCTGTTTGACCCTCTATCCGAAGACCATAATGATATATATATTGTACAAAAAATATGACCATATGCCTTGACAGACACCAGAGTATCAAAAGTATTTTTCATAACTTCCCAAGACTTGCTCACCCTGTCGGTCATATTCAAGTTCCAAAAAAATTAACAGTCATAATTTTCATCAATGAATTTTCAATATTTCTCTGCTGCTTATTGATAACCACAAGAAGAATTTATTTTTTGTTTTCTGAATGGCCCTGACCTTTTCCTATGACCTTGAATTATTCCTGTGATATATACCCTTGGCTCACTAACATCCTCTTTTAATAGCACCTGACTAGTGATGCATTAGGGGTCCTGGGTTTGATTTCCTGTCTCCAGCCTTACATTTTCTCCTAACCTGTTACACTAGATATTCAGGAGAAAAGATTTATATACAATGCATTTCTAAACTATGATCATCTCAACTCCATTTGCCCTTTAATCAAGATTTTAAACCTTGCACTCAGGAGTCATGAATTTCATACTTTTGGTACTAGTAGTCAGTGCATATTGCTCAGACTGACATTTAATTAATGTCTGCTAGATTTTCTGGAGTAAAGAAAAGAATTTTTAGGATTGCATTTATTTTAGAAGGTTTTGGTCTTATTCTTGAGGCCCCATAGGGGTTGGGAACATGAAATTCACAAGTTAACTTCCTCTTTACCTAAAGATGCTCTAAGCTAAAATTAGTTTAGCTTTTCCAGAGAAAGAAGCTGGAAATATTTTCAAAATTAGAACTGATGGATACTGGACATTAAGATGGACAGGAATAGACAAAAATACATGTATTGGCTCAGATGACCTAAAAATTTCTTTTTTATTATACTGTTCTCAATCCATTTTTAAACATTTAGAGCAAATTGTTCTAAAATGGATCATTACACATTAGACACTGACGTTGACAGATAATCAAAGAACTTATTCTAAGTCATCAACATTCTAATCTTCTTTTCTCTAAAACAAATATACCACTTGTGTTTTTTGTCCTACTTACGAAATGGCTGCATTTTCTGATAATTGGTCCTCAATGCCCATTGGTACACTCTGCTGCGGGTGGCTCATAATGCATAAAGAATTATAGTTCACAGTGTCTGCAATTCACATGACTTAGAATAATATCCTCTTCATTTCAATGACTGATTGAACTGCTCTCAAGTCTGTTTTTCCTGCACATAATTCCTGCCTGATAAAAATAAAATTTGCTCAGTTGTACTATTCAGCATCAATCAGTTGATCAAGATTTCCTAAATGTTGATTCCATGGTTCTTCTGAAAAATAGAAAAAAGTTCAAAATCAAAAAAAATTTGTTTTTAATCAAAAATCATATGAATCTATATTTGAACTTTTTACATTGCACAATTAGTCCAATCCAATATATCTTTTTTAGCATTTTCAAGTTCCAATTTCACACAGTCAAATATGAAAATCTAGAAGTCCATCGCATGCATGTTCTGACAGCCATCATCAATCTCGATATTCTTTTTTTTAGGTTTGCTTTTTATAAACATCTTGATTACATGAAATATTTAGATATATGTCACTTTAGAATTGCTGTATCACTTGCTCATCTTTAACCTGATCAAGCACATCTTCACAGCAATTGGCTATTACATCCTACACTTACATAATTATCAATAATTACATTTACAAGTTGAATTCATTAACCTCCACTCAGCTGGTCAAAAACCTGTAATTGCCAATCATCAGCAAATGATAAGAATGAAAATATTTAATACTATCCATTGCATTTTGTACACGCCAAAACATATTTTTTTCATTTTCTAGAGCAAAGAGCAAATACCACCAGAAAAATCCTTACTGATTACACATGTTAATGCCTCTAGGGGTAACTGTGCATGCATGAAAAATTCTGCCCTTGATAAATCTTTAATGAGAAATATAATTTGTTTCACAAGTGTTAAAAAGAAAAAAAAAAATGAATTTTTAGAACACATATTCATAAAAGGTCAATTACAAATGTTTCATTAAGGCTCGATCCATGCATGCTGATAGACATTATTATTTTAATAATATTATCATCTTTATAAAGGCAATGTTACTTTTTGTTTTTTTTCTATTCTGTACAAGACCACTTTATGTTTAAGGAGAAAATGAACTGACTGATGAAGGTAAACCACTCAAAAGAGAATATGTAATCATATGTAATGAGACATAATCACAAATGCCCTCACATTGTGAAAATGACATATTACCTTGCTCTTATCTTATTCTTAGGGTATATCCAAAACAGCAAAACAGAATTTGGATGAGACATATAGTAACCTAATGCAGCAATGCATCAACTAAATGCAAGATCTAGTTGCATTGCTAGTCATTAAAGTCATACCTGGTTGAGTAATATAAAAAAAAAAGTTAAACATTACTGTAATATTCGATCAATTACTTAATCAATCTCTGTGTGACACAAAATTACTGGGCAGGCTATTCAAACCCTTCTGTAACATATGAGACTCATCTTGAACATGGACATTGCCATGGAATCATCAGTAACACACATGATCCCTGCCTGCTTTGTTCTCACCAGATCAAAACGTTTCAGTTGTGCTAACTTTATTTTGACCCCTGGAGGCTGCACTGCATAAAGGTTCTCTGTTTGATCATCGCTAACTCTTAATCCATATATTAAGAGGAATATTGACTTTTCAAACACGCATTTCTGTGGTGAAAAATTACCATTTTAGAACTTATCAGTCATGAAAAGTATTCAAATCACTTTATTTATTACAAACCCACTGCAGCTAAATTTGGTAAGAGTTTCAACAACAACAAAAAAAAAAACAGTGTTAAGAGCATATCTTTTTTTTACGTTTGATGGAAAGGTCTGTCCATCATGAGAAAAAATTATAGCTTAAGATATCGGGAAGATGTGTTTTACAACAATCTTATCAATCTTCAAACCCCTAATAAGTTGGTCTAGCATTTAACTTTTCTAGCTTGAAAATGTTTCAACAGTATGTTTGATGCTTGAATTGATTTTAAATTTATAGGTCTTTAAATAAATTTTATTATTATATAAATACCCTTATAAATATTTTGCTGTGCAAATACTACAGATAAAAAGTTCAATAAATTGGAATTTTGAGGGGAAAAGTTCAACAAATTTGATATTGATATTGGATAGACTATTGGTTAAACCTCAAATTAACTTGACTGCTAATACATGTACCGTATGTCCCATCTCTTAATTTTTGGCATTATCAATGCAGCTTGTGTTAATGTGCTTGCATGAGTAGTCTTGTCATATAAAGATGGCTTTCCAATTTGTGCAATACGTGTGCATTTCTAGTGAAATAGCATTATATCAATCACAATTAAAAAATATGAAACATTGACACCATCTCAAATAAATAATCATTTCTTTAAGAAGCAAATATCAAAAAATTCAGAAAGAAAAAAATATATATATAAACATTGAATAATTTTTTAATAAATCTATTCCTGCATTAGCATTGCTGCAGTGTTCACCTACCAAGAGGCAGGACATATCAAAAGTAGCCATAAAAGAAAGGTTCAACAACCAAGAAAAATCCAGATCAGGGCATAATACCTAAACTACTTTAACAAAGGAAACCACTTGTTTGTGATCACCAGATATAACCAAAATTTTTAAGTACACAGACTACAAGTAAGGAAGATTTACCAGGCATAATCTGTCTAATCTCCGAATCTCTCAAGCAAACAGGATAAATACAGTACCTGTATCATAGCCATTTAACATTGTTTACAACAGGTGTGAAGGCAAGACAAGGTGATTCAAATGGAATCTGACAAAGCAATACTTTAAAAAAAAAAATTGAACTTAAGAACATATTATTTCTATTTTTATCTATATTAGTAATCAGGGTCTGATCCATAATTTCATCTCTTGGGACAAGTGGAAGGAGGCATTGTCAACAAATTTCCTTAGATGCCAAAAAAAGAGGGGGATATAGATAATAGTTTGTTATAAAATGATGGCTAATGTAACGTGATGACATACATGTACATATGTAAAAAGTGGTTCAAAAATCAACACTTTTTACCTTAAGTATCTATATGTATTGATAATTTGATTCTACAGTTCCACGGACTCCATGCAGTTCCACTTCATGCTGGCACATGAAAAAATCCTGTAAATGGGGGAGGGGGGGGGGGTGTCAGGAAAACATATCCCCTTTTAATTTTCTACTCAGTCTGATATTATTCAACATGCTAGTATTCCACCTCCATTGCTATAAAGGATATTCCATTACAGGATACTCATCATCAGCAAATAAAAGGTGAATGCTTGGTACTCAATAGACTGTTAATAAGGATTTATCAAACAGATGAATCATATGTTTGTCAAACAGATGAAGTTCATCATGATCAGTATCTTTATTTCTGAGTTTACTAATTCTATACTATGCATTTCCTGTTTATTGGTCAAATAAAAATTTCTCTGAGGCACAAATTGTTGGGATCTAACATAAGAATGAATAAGTAAAATATGTACTGTACATTTAGCTATGGATGAAATGATGAATATATCCATCTGACATACACATGTGTACCAACTAGTACAAAATACGGCCTAACTATGATGTATACCATTTAAATTGTGATTTACTCTAAATATGCTTATACCAGCATTTAATGAAGTCATATCCAAATTTAAAGTAACCGCAAAAATTGAGCAAACCTATGGATATCTTATGTGCAAAAGTAAGCCGAAAAATTTCAGCACAGCATCCATCCTGTACATTGTAAATGAAAAGTCAGTACAGTGCATTCTAACATAACATCTAATGAAATGAACTTCGTAAAAAAAAAAATAAGTTATGGAATTGATGTAATTTACTTTTGCTCAGGGTAATTACACTGAAAACAGTTTTTGCCATAACATTAGTGCCCTAGGTGCCTGGAAATCCAGTAAGTGGGGGGTTATTAGTGGGAATTAGAGAAATAAGCTATGAAAAATAGGTGAGATATTGGTTTTATATTCTAACAGGGAGATAAATGGCTAACAAATAGATGTATCAATTACAGCAAATATATGTCATAAAATGCTTGCTAACTTGTGAACATAAGATGATAAAATATCATATACACAGTTTCATTGTCAATCATAATAAAATTCTGCTCTTTTGTCTGGTAGATTTGTTTCATGTTTCAAGAGATTACAGAATCAGAGTTGTCTTATAATGGGGTATATCCCAAATGGGGGCTCGGTCAGAACATATGCCACAGTTCACATATTGCAGGCACAAAATCTTTGAGATGTCAATTTAAGGCTTTCAAATACATCTTCTGGCTCAAATTACAGTGTCTAAATAAACACTGTTAGGATGCATAGACAAAAGCATCTAACAATAAGTATGGCATATCACTAAGTTTGCACTGTCTATACTATGTCTTACTAGCTGATAAGTGAGCTAAGGGTGATTAGCTATTAAAACTTGTGCCTACTGTTATGCATACCTGATAGTTGGACAGCCATACAGACATGGCTATTCCAGTATACCAACCCTACTATACCATATTTATTGTAATATTGCAATTGGAAGAGTTACATTTAGAAGTCAAAATTTTTCTCTGGCCTTATTTAAATTCTAAACTATCCTACTTGTATACAAAACACTCACTTGGAACCTTTGTTACAATGTATGATCTTAGTTTAAATCTATATACAGCAAAGTGGACTGCATGCTTAGTTAAAAGAAGGAGAGATGAGGATAGATGGACTATTGCCTTAATAATCAAGAGCAGTAGATTAACTGTTACAATAATCATATATATTATATATATATACATATTTAAATGACAAGTTTTCCTGTGTATGACAATTTTCCAGCACATCTAGGAAGAGGATTTTATTCTTTAATTTGATCCTTCCTTTTTCCCTGTTATATATAGAAGTCACTTTTGACACAATATTGCATATCAAAAAATGAAATAGACATTATAAGCAATTAGCTACACTCTTTTAATTATATTTCTAGGAGTATCTCTTGAAAATACATAATATTCTAATCAGTTTCATTTCAATGTGCATGTGCTATCTCAGATGGATGTACTGTACTAGCATAAAAAGAGGGGAATGTTGACGTTACTATCCTTCACATTTTTGGCTCATGGAGGTAATTGTGGCAGAAAATGCTTATGTACTTTGTAGAAAGGTTACAATTGTCAGTAAGGTTAATTAAAGACAGAAACAACACAACTATCATATCCTGATAATTCCAAACCTATAATCTGTGTAAACAGTAGGACAACATAATTAATAGATTAAGGATGCTTTTTCAAGGAAATGAAGACATAGATAATGACACTACACAGTTGTCAGTTTTATCATCCATAAAGAAAAAATAAATGAAATGGGTTTAAAAATAAAAAATAGAACAGATACAACAGTTTACTGGTGTACGAAAAACCGGGCACCTGCTACTGTGAAACCAACGAAACCGAATATGGGACAGCAGGTATGAACAACTCGTGCTGTTTACATAATCAATCCAATAGACAAAGCTGCACCGAAATTCATGTAATTTGGTAGTCAATCTAAAATTCTTCACGGTCTGAGCTTGAGCTCAATATCAAAGAACAAATGACCACTATGTGGGCCTATACGAACAAAAGATCAACATATTCATGATCAAATAAAGCAAATATTTGAATTACATTATGAAAAGATTCTACATTAAAACATAACAAACCTCACTGATTTTAGTTTTTCTTTGCACATGTGCTCTCTTCAAGAAATAAACTTAACTTCTGAATAATAGTCCTCCTGATCTTTCACTTTGTTTTTGTTTTTGTGATTAATCAATTTATCCTTCCGTCTAATAAAAGTAGTCCCATTGTATGCCGAACACTGTTTGGATATGTATTTTTTTTTTCTTTTCACTTTTAGTCTAAATAAGCAAACACAAATAAATTAAAAATAACATGTTAGAGTGTACATGCTTTTTTGCTATTGTTTCGATATTATATTTCTATATTGGTTATATTTTGCGGAGTGATTTTAAAATGACAATGTGGCGCGGATCTAGAGTTCCAAACCCAATGTACATGTTTGAACTGCCATAAAGCATATATATCATGTTTATCTCTTACAACTTCATCGACATGTTTCTGTTTGAAAATCAAATATAAATAATACGACTCAGGTGCAATATCTATTTTATGGTGGCATATTTCTGCATGCTCCCTACACAGCTACATGCAAGATAAATTATGTCAACATGTAAAAAAAGAATGTTAACATGCAAGATTATGTCTACATGCAAGAAAATTATGGTATCATGCAAGTTACCGATCTTTGTAGGGAATCTGATTTTTAACATGGGTAAACCTATTTACTAACGCCAGTATCATGCAAGATGCAACATTAAATTATGTTGACAACTTGACATGCAACTTACTTATTAAGGTATGTCACTCGTGAAACTTGTTATATCAAGGATTTTTTCAGAAGTATATTTTAGATAAGTACTCATATAGCATGACTCAAAATCGGAAAGAAAATGGGGGGTCAGTGTGCATATTACTGAGCTACGGTACAATTAAGTTGACCTTTTTGCACTTAAATTGTAACTCTTTGGTTAATCACTTTAATCTTTATCATATTTTATCAGATGTAATTATGGCAATAAATATGATCTTATTTTAAGTAAAATAGTTTGAATAATATTTATCATTGAACAAATCATGCAAATTAATGCGCATAAATTATTGTGTGACCTTTTTGCACTAAAAAAATATCATATTTGGAGTATAAAAAATCTAAGTATGCAACAAAATATTTTCTTGTATCAAACTTTTTATGACTTAAGTGCAGATTGGTTGGAAGTATCGTGTTGTTTAAAATAATAAAAGAAAAAGTTGGGGTCAGTGATGTAAATTTTGAGATATTAGTCAAAATGTACGATTTTCAAGCAAAAAACGGTGTAAATTTTATCTTGACCTCTTTAATATATCTTCATTGCTTGGCAAAGTCTGTTCCGTGAATGTGTAAGATTTGTTCTTAAAATATAAATTGGGACCTATATTTAATATTCCTAGCATTTCATAACGGAAAATATTCTCCAAGTAAAAATATGCGGGGCTAAAGTTCCAAGATATTAAATTTGACAAATGTGTAGATTTGAAGAATTTTCTTCTAAATATCCTTCCACCTCAAGAAATAGTCCCTCATAAATCTTGTTTCTTTATGAATTTGTGAGCAGTTTTTTAATTGAATTTTGAATAATTTGCATTGTTTAATTTAAATATGTTATAAAAATTGAATTGTAATAAATAGTTTTGAAGTTAAAGGTTCTGACTGAAATTTTCTAAAAAGCTGACGAGTGACATACCTTAAGTCAACATGCAAGTTAATTATGTTTATATGCAACATATTTATGTCAACATGCAAGATAATAATGTTGACATGTGACTTATTTATGTCAACTTGCAACATTTAAAAGTTGATATGAAATGGGTCATTTAAAAAGGGAAGCTTGGTATAATAATTTGCATGTCAACATAATAATTGTGCGGTAACTATATATGTTGCATGTAAATGTCATAAATAAGTTGCATGTCAACATAAATATATCTCATGTTGACATAAATATGTTGCATGTTAAGATTATTATCTTGAAAGTTGACATAAATATCTTGCATGTTAAATTAACACAATATTGCATGTTGACATAAACATAAATAACATCACATGTTGACATAAAATATAGCTCGTATGTCAATAGAATTACCTCTCATGTTCACAAACTTGCATGTAATCACAATTATCTCGCATGTTGATATAAACAAGTCATATGCTGAAATAAATAAGTTGCATGTCAAAACAAATATCTCTCATGTTGACATAAATAACTCACATGTCAATTATGAGTCAGATACTGCATGGTGTTTGTAAGTAAAATTACCAATACATGTATTAAATCAGATTATCTTTAAAGATTTGTAACTAATTATCTTGCATGTAGATATAAATATCTTGCATGTTGACATACATTTCTTGCATATTGACATAATTTATCTTGCACGTTGGGACAGAAATATGCCACCATAATATTCACAGTTGTTTTACATATAAAAGTACTATATATATATATATATATATATATATATATATATATATATATATATATATATATATATATATATATATATATATATATATATATATATATATATATATATATATATAGTTAGTAATTTTTTTAGTGCTTGCAGCTACTATGACTTTTTCTCAGTTGTGCAGAGAGGCTCTAATTTCTTACCCTATTTGGTTTTACAAATGACATCAATTATATATATTATATATATATATATATATATATATATATATATATATATATATATATATATATATATATATATATATATATATATATATATATATAATTGATGTCATTTGTCAAAGAAATTAGAGCCTCTCTGCACAACTGAGAAAAAGTCATAGTAGCTGCAAGCACTAAAAAAAAAAATTACTAACTTCTTTGATATTTCTTTTATTATACCATTTATACAAAGTCATCCCCTATTGATGTTAAATTTAATCACCCCACCCCACCCCCAATACTGGCTATGAAAATAATTGCAATTTAATGAGGTGCTGTTTTAAGTATTTTTAGGTATTTTCTTATATTCAAAAAAAAAAAAAATCTTCAAATCAAAAAATAAAATGATTTAATTACTTGATAACTTCATTTTTGATGGTGAGAAAAGTTAGAAACCTAAAGTAGAACTAACTAAATTTGTGCTCTCTGGGATGTTTCTTTTTTCATCTCCAAGTATGATATTTGAATTGAATTTGAATTGAAATGAATTGAATTGAACATATTTTATTGACAAAGAGTCAGTAGGATTAGACACAATTCAAGAACTTAAATATTCTTCTCCTAATACAACATTTTGTAAAATTGCCAAAATAAAATGAATGTATATACATGGTCTACTACATATATACATAGTAGTTTCTGTAATAGAAGGAAAATAAGATCTTCTTTAAATGTACAAATCTAGATTTACATTGTTAAAAAAAATAAGCTTTTTTGAAAAGCAACCACATTCATTTAGAAAAGTTTGAATAATCTTGAAAAGTTCAGCATTTTGTTCATTAGTAAGAGAATCATCACCCTATAGCATTAAATGTACATATAAATTATTTAATGACAATAGCTTGCTTTTGCATAAATTTACAAGCGAGAAATAGATGGTATGCATCTTCTAGTCGTCCTCATGAACAATTTGGACTGGTTATCAAGTTACAGCAAAATAAGTCAGAGTTTAAAATACAATGGTGTCTTAATCTTGTATGAATTATGTTCAAAAACCTTCCATATGAAAAATATTTCTTAGGTTTTACAATGTTGTTGTGCAGACAGTTCTTAAAAATTTTAATAGAAGTTGCCTCCCTTGATCTAAGACTAAGTGAATTCCACTTTCTGACAGTATCAGGAGTAAATGATTTGTTAAATAATTCTAATCTGTATTTTGGCAAAGAATAGTTTAAGGAATTCCTAGTTGTGTATCCTGAAATATTGCCTCTTGTACCAGGTAATAAAATTTGTATATAAGAAGGTACTAAACTATAGTGCATTTTATACATTGTTTTAGTTTTGCTGTTTCTTCTGTATTCCAAAGGTTCCAAACCAATTTCCAAATATAACGATTTTTTTTGAAGCAATAATTGTAAGCCCAGTAAGTATTCTTGCAACAAATACAGGTGACTCTCGATCTCTCGAAGTTCAAGGGACTGCAAGAAAAGTTAGAGAGATCAAGGGGTTCGAGAGATAGAAAGTGAATAAAATCTGGAACTTTTTGAAGATTTTCAATGTCTGTCTTTGTGCATCCAGACCAAACTTCAAAAGCATATTCTAGTTGTGGCCTAATAAAAGATATATACATCTGGGATAGAATATCTCTTGACACAGTAAATTTTAGCTTTTTAATTAACCCCCGTTTTTGTAAGCTTTCTTTACAATGATATCAATATGATCAGACCGTCTTAAGTTTGAGGACAGCAGTATCCCAAGATGTTTGTGTTCTGTAAAATATTCTAATTAGCAATTGTCAAAAAATAACTTAGGTAACTGCTGCACATTTTTTAAATGAAAAAATACAGCTTTGGTTTTCTGTGGGTTAAAATTCAATAACCATTTCTTTGACCATTCATCTAGTATTCTAAGATCATGATTAAGATTTTGCTCAATATGATTATTATTATCTGAACATTTTTTGTTTACGATATTCAACAATTATTTTCCAAATTTGTGAACTTCATGGTCCCTTGGTCAGGCATTCTGGTGTTAGGGCGGTGCTCTATTGATTATACATGTAGATTGAAATGCATTAATTCTTTGAAAATCTTCTTCTCTGCCCCTGGGTAATAAGCACTCAAATTAAAAGCATGTTTATGATAAGCAAGGGTACCTCTTCCAAAATTCGGAAATTTATGCCCCCCCCCCCCCCCCCCCGGGTCAGGAGTTCTGGTGTTAGGGAGGGGTTCTGTTGATCAGACAGTAAATATGCATAAATTCTGTACAAATTTTCTCTGCTCCTGGGTATTAAGGAAACAAACTAAGTGCATGGTGATGATGAGCAAGGAAGCCTCTTCCAAAATTGTGAAATTCATAGCCCTTGGGTTAAGGGTTTTGGCGTTAAGGTTGTAATATGCAAGGGTGTTTTAACAAAGTTGTAATATGCAAGGGTGTTTATACCAGATTAAATTCTGGACCACTTGGTCAAGTATTCTGGTGCTGGGCAGGGCTTTGTTGATATCGTAGGCAATTTGTTC